GGTTTATATAGTTAGTGGAATGCGAGTGAATATTCATATTAACGTGTGGCGCAAATTCTGTCATGCATCTTCATATAAGCTTACCAATTGCATCATCATTTCCATTCGTGTTTGGTAATTATGTTTACCACGAGCTACAACCAACTGTGGTGAACATGATTTTCTTATGGGGTGCTCAACCAACTGTGGTAAATTATAATTTTTTCACGGATATAATAACACTCATGTTCTATATGAGATGATTTAAAAAAAAAAAATCATTTTTCATATATTGACTAGCAGAAGTTGCTTTCATATCTTTTGCCGATGCACAATATTTGCATTATGAACAATTTTCAAAGCATCAAGACTTCTATTATGAGATCCGCACTACACTAACCACAAAAAAATATAATCTTCTTTTACTGTTATGATGTGTTAAAAGCAAAAAAAATACGAACCGATTTATAGAAAAAGTTACAATGTAAAAAACACTAATTGAAGTGATTATCAAGCTATGATATGAAGACAATCACAACTCAACAATCATGTAGTGATCTCATCTCAATCACATCTTGAAAACTCAATACTCAATCAATGCTTTACAATTTATGATTATAACTGGAAGAATTAAACTATGTAGATTTCACATTACATGCTACTACAACAAATTTATACAATTATTAATATTTTAGCTCTAGATAATATAAATTCAAATGGTATAAATTATTCAGAGTCATGAACATTGTATGATTACCAATCTTTGCGACTGAATGAAAATGACAGTCTAGAATACCTCGCCGAATAAAATATATCTGTGACAGTCTAGAGTCGATGACAGTCTAGAATCCCATCGACTCTCCTTCCGTCAACTCTCCTCCCAGCTCCCCTCCCTCTACTGGAGGCTCACGCAAGCAGCCTTACGCGCTATCTTTTAGTACCTCAAGTTTGGGATCATCGACTAGGATCTTTTAGCACATTTTTGGATCTACCCGTTATAGCAGAAATGAAAAAAGGTATAAGTAAAAATGGTAATGACATTGCAAAGATCGGAAAGGAAGTTGTTGAGGTTAAGAAGGATGTCGGCAAGCTTTTGCAAGAGGAAAAAATGAAGAAGAATTCATGGTGGTCGTGCATTTGGTTGAAATGTTAGTTGTATGATTGTTTAACTCAATAATTATAACTTGACTAGGGTTAGATGCTGATCTGATTTTGTACATCACTCTCTATATGTATTGTGTACTTCCGGCTATATGTGTGTTTCCATGTTTCTTATGAGCTTTTTTATGATTGGTGTGCTTACTTTTACAATGTGTTTAATGGGAAAGAAGTGGTTTCTATTAGCAAGATAAACATGAATAATCCCATATAGCAAAATTTGATCTCGTTTGGATTTAGGGAAAGGTGAGAAAGAAGTGGAAATGGGGTCTCTTTAATAGC